GAGAGAGAGAGAGAGAGAGAGAGAGAGAGAGAGCTGTGCTATTGGATGTTCACGAAGCTCGCTGTGGATTGAGGTTGCTGATGCTCCATCTGCTCGATCTGTCCCGCCTGCAAGCCTTTCCCGTTGGTGCGTAGCTGCGGCATTTGAAGACTTTCCCGGAAGGAAAAGCAAGAAAAAACACAAAACACAAAAACCAATTTGCAGTCGGTCCTTGTGACTGGCCAACTCCCAGTTCCCCAAATCGGCCGCGACCGTGTGTCGTTTCCGGATTTGGGGACACGGTGTGACCTGCAGGACCACTAAACCCCAAATTCGCCCTCCGCAAATTCTCAAAAAGTGGGGATATGGGATCACAGTGTGAGCGTGCCCTAAGGGCCTACTGACACTAGGGCCTTGTATGGCAAAATAGTTAAAATTTGATGGTTGGGCCACCAGTTGCACGAGGTTTGGCAGTCCCTGATGCTACTGGCTGTCCCCTAGCTGGTATCGCCCACCTGCAGGCCGGGAGCAGCCCCCGCATGTTCTCTCGTGAACACGGTTCTGGCTGCTACGGGGTTCCCGTATGCCTACAATTAGGAGTAGTGGTAGGTCGGTAGTGTGAGGTGAAATTGAGAGAAGAACAGTACCTTTGGCGTACGGTTTCGACAAGTCCTGCCAGTACCCGAACTTTCAGGAGGCCGAGCCCGAGGTTGATCAATCTCATCGGCGGTCGTTTCGTTTCGGCCTCCTGAAATGTCGGAGGCCAAGTATTTTCGAACCGACAAAGGTACTGGTGGAAAAAAGAAAAAAAGAAAGTGGCAAAAGCAGCAAACGTACTGGTGGAAAAAAGAAAAAAAGAAAGTGGCAAAAGCAGCAAACGGGGTATCATACGTCAGGGCCGTGGGGAAGGGCATTTTGCTACCACCTCTGGAGGTGGCAGCAAATTTGAGGTGGTAGCAAATTTTCTTTTTCAGTCCGAGAGTTCGTGAAAGGAATTTCGAAACGAACTTCGATGAAGAAAAAAAAATGTTGAAGGATTTGGGCCTTGCGCTGTGTCACCATGCACGGCACCATTTTGGCATTTGCCAGAAGGTCGGGCTCGTGTCTTTCGTGATTTGCTGCCGCTATGTGGGCGGGCGGGGTGGCCTTTAAGCAAAATTGAGATAGCAAAATTCGCAGATCTTGCCTCTATGCCACCTCTGTGTGAGTACGCCCTTATACAGACTGTGGAAGACGCTAGCTGCAAGAGGACACCTGGAAAAGGAAAAAAACTGCACACAGGGCCTTTCCGGCATGGATGACTGCATGGAAAGGTGAATTTCAAGGTACAGCGGTTGTTACTGAAGCTCAAGCTTCTTCCGAAGGTCCACAGTT